TCGTTTCACTGGTATTAGATGGAAGATAGCAAGACAGATATGAGTTAGAAGGCGCGCTTTATTAGTCGATACCAGATTGGGAGAAAGAAATAAGATGCTAAGTTAGCAGGTTGAAAGCCATAAATCAGTTATCGATCCTTCCTTTCGTATATTGCCCTTTTACCCAGATAGAATTGAGTTGGCAAGCTTGATACCAGAGTTCAGGTTGTATGCGAGGGTCCTATTTCTCTATGCCGTTTATAAGCGGCTGGAAATCAGACTCAAGTTGGCTGTGAGTTTGAAGAGCAGCTTCTCGTAAGCCATGTAGTTTATACTGACCAAGGAGTAAGTGCAGCTAGAGTTTCCCTTGTCTTAGCAAGATAGGCTCGTACCCATTCTTTCTATCGGCTAGAAGCTTTGTTGCTTGACTTGGGGCCTCGATAGCATTAATTATGGTCCTTCATTCTTTTTACCAGCTAGCAGTTTCAAAGTCGGAGTTAAGAATACCAGATTGTAGTTTACCGGCTCGTATCTACTGTATGGAGCTTGGCGTACCCGGTTTGGAGTCAGATAGAAGAACTCCACTCGATTATAGGAATAAAGGTCAGCTATCCGGTTTCAAGTTAATAAGTAGTAAGCTTGCTTAGCAGATTGATTTCATGCTTATAGCTTTTATGTTCAGTAGCTTGGAGCGCGGTAACAAATAAGAATTCTAGTCGTAAGCTGATATGTAGTTTCTATACTTTTACCAAGGGGTTCTCTCTTATACAGATTAAGAGATAGAAGAAATAGAGTCACCGAATCTGAGTTGCTATTACCTAGAGTATTAGGAAAGACAGTAATAAGATAAGTTGCTTGCTATAAGACTTTCAGGCAGGTAATAAGATTGAAAGATAGATATCAGGTTGCAAGTAGTGCTTGCTCGCTTCGAGAGTGTTATCAGAAAAAGTTGTAAAAGAAAGATTTTCCGATTTCCTAGAATCTAGTTCTGAAGATATCCACCTGTCTGCATAAACAATCACCACCAGAATAGGCTATCCACCTGTCTGCATAAAGAATCACCACCTTACCTTCTAAGCACATTGACAGCTTATCATTTCTCGTACGCTATGACCCTTAGAATCGCTGGATGGCACGGAGTGGGACGGGTTAGAGATGCAAGGTAGGTAAGTAAAGAGTAGTCGGGTTATTGCAGCTATATCTCAGAATAGTGTGGAATCTATAAGGTAACTAGGCTTAGGGGAGTCCAATAGGGACATAACTAGTTGCTAAGCCCTGTCAGTCCTGTATGTATGGTATGTCCAGTAAGGCTATTGAAGAAAAGCACTGGGTTCCTGTAGAGTAGAGGAAGACTCGGGGAAGAGAGGCTTTCTCGTACAACAGCGAACTAAAGCTTAATTGAAGAGTTTCTTCGGTGAACGAAAGGTTTAGAATGAATTTAAGCAGTTTTTTGTTTAGTAAGTAGTGAGTTATATTTCCACTATGGTGAAATGCATGTATACTCGTTCTTTATTTAGTATTCAAGCCCATCTGTGACTTGCCTCCGTCGGGAGAGTGACTCGTGTAGTTCAGTTGGATGGAAGGTCGGCTTTGTCCAAACAAATCACTCCTTACAGAGGCGAGGGGAAAGAAAAGATCAAGAACGTCACCGACTCGATCAGCTACCTTGCCTATTCAAGCAAACTATCGGGGACAGCTTACCTTAGCCAGACCAGACAGACAATACAGTTCAACCAACTATGTGCTCTGAGCCGTTCCTTTAACCCAGCCTCCTCCCTGGTTTGGATAACCATTCCTAGTGACGGGTTCGGCGAACCAACTAATCCTTGCTTTGCTATTCCCCACGGATCGTACTTCGTTGCTTGGCCATCAAGTGTAGTGACATACTACAGTGTTGAGGCTATCCCTTATAGAGATAAGAATGAATGAATGAAGGAAAGTTGGCTGTGAGAATGATCCCAGTTCGTTCGTAGTCCTTGGCATCCCTATCCTCCCTCGAAGGTTCCTGGCAGAATGCTACTTCCTAGGTTGGGGTTAAGCCAAATACTTTCTCCACTAATCCAGTCCAGTCTCCTTCCTTTGCCGACCCTAGTACTTCCTAAGCCGCGTGCAGCACATGGTGGTTCTGCTCCGGCCCCAGACTCTAGTATGCCCCTTTTCCAGTGAGAAAGGCAGCTTGCTCCTAGATCTTCTACACTGCTTATCCGAATCAGAGGTGCTGATAGAATCTTTCATTGAAGGATCAGAAGGTAGCCTCGCCAACCTACATACAAGTTATGTACCAGTCCTTTCTTTATTTTCTATAGGTTACGGATCTAGTACGATATGCCGCTACCCTCTATTCCTAACCCCGGTGGAGTTCAGAAAGCACACAACCATTCATCGATAAAGTTATGAACATATAGCTGCAAAATCCCTACTTGGCAATTTCCCTTGAGCCAAAGGAAACTCTAAATTACCTGATTTCCTTCCTTCTTCAATGAGGGTTGTCCTTACTTCTATTAATTGTCATTACGACCGTACGACCGGCTATTGCCATTTCCTTTATTGAATTGAATTGAATTGAACCAGAAGAACTATTCGAGTGACGGGATGTCCCACCCCTATCTTTCCTAGTGAAGGGTTGTCCATAGTCAGAGGGATATTCGTATCCAGATTCCAATCCGAACCCTTGCTTGCATTGCTTTCGTTAATTGGGCGATGGCTATTCGTCGAGTGCTTCCTTTCCGAGAGAGAGGTCCTCCGCCGATCCCAATCCGAAGAGATAGAAGACAAGGTTCCTCTTCCCCGTTCGTGACAAGAAGCAAGCTAGGTATGCTCGCTAGCTGAAAAAGGCAAGGGAAAGAGATTCTGATTCAAACCCAATTCCGGGAGTGAAATAGTCTGCTGTGATAGAACCTGGCAAGGGAAAGAAAAGAAGTATAGGTCATCAAGTAGTGGACAAAGCAAGGGTAAGGTTCTTCTTCTTTCTATACGCTCTTCTCTGCCATAGTAGCCATAGTAGAGATATCCGCACCGCAGGGACCAATCTTGAAGCAAGGAAGGAATGAACTTTAATGAATGAGACCCGCCTCTACTCAAAGAATCCCTCAATACTAAGTAAGCACTCTCGAGGAGGGGTGGGTTACCCACCTACTTGATTCGTGTTCCTATCTGATCTTATCACTCGGCTCACAACTCATAACAAAGGCTTTCTTTTACTATTTCCTGACATTGCAGGCTAAAGACATATTTGTGCAAGTAAAGGCCCACTCACTTGGCAGGCAGCAAAAACGCAGTAGGATTCCAAACATTCCTTTTTGAATGCTTGCTTTTTCGGAGTCATTGGTGTGCTCTTTTTCCCTCTCTATCTGGCCTACCAATTGAGCAAAACAGATAAGGCTGGGCTGGATCAAAAGTAGCATGCCTTGGCTGGCTCCTCATAATAAAAGGACAATAAACTTGGCAGTGGAGAAAGACTACCACATCTGTATCAGGGCCTGGGTCGGAAGTTGCAGAATCTCATGGGATAAGCAAAGAAACACAATCACACTCCAACAAATGAAAAGTTGTACCAACCGAGGAAGTCGTGCCGGTAGCCTGCCCCTAGGTTCTCAGTAATTTGGAACTGTAACACTTGCTGCTCCAGGAATCTATGCCATGTTAGTCGCCTAGCTGTGATGTGAGAACACCATATATGATCCATGCCAGCGGGAAAGCAAAGGGCGTACGACCTACACCTGCTCTGTAAAGAATATATTTCAAAGTGTGTGTGCGCTGGATGAATGTTGTTTGTTTCGGGCGGGATAAGTAAATAGAGTACTCAGTTTTCTATCCAATTAGTCCGACTGCATGTGCGTGCATCTCTGTGTATTCAAACAAGCTAGCTCCAAGACTTGAAACTTGATTCCTGCAATGGCTGAATTGAAAGGCAGTCTACACCGCAAGCGAGTTGTGACCACTTACCGGCCTGGGTATGATGAAGCCACTCATGCAACAAGGTTTAAGTCAATCCATCCTGACCTCTTTTTCTCTATCATTGCTTTTTGTGAAAGGGTTCGGTCAAAGAACTACTGGATTCCTCTTCCTTTTCTCTTTCTTCTTCGAACCTATGCTTGGTGCCTTTCCACAGCATGGGCATAGGGCTCTAGATTCTGAGGTTGGATATGGGTCCGGATTGTGGAAACATTTTACCTCTTCAAGTTAGCTGCCCGGGGTGCACTAGCCCTTTGGCACAGTGTTTAGGAAAAATAGCCGGAGTCCCATTGATAAAATTTCCATGATCATCACCCCTGCGCATCCAGACGAAGAACCGGCGCCTTGTCGGGCGGGACCGTAGCAGAAGAGGATGTTGGCTATTCCTGCTTTTTTTAGTGTCTTGCTAGCCACTTCGTCGGGTGGATCGGATTTGAGCTTCAGGAAATGAGCAGCTCTCTTGCGCCTAACTGAGGCTCAGTGTTCTAGATCCTGCTGATTGGACTTTTGATCATATCCCTGCTGGAAAAGCTGCCACCGGCTCCAGGATCAAACGGTCATCTTGGATATGAATAGTTTCGTATTTTCTAAGTAGGCACATCTTGCAGTAAGCATACAATAATCGATTAAGCAAGCAGCTGGGCAGGAATGGATTCTCAGTATAAACTAGCTAAGTTCAGCTTCTAGTACGAAAAGCTCAAGCGCACGGGGCACTGCACTAAGGAACGCTTTCCGATCGACCAAGAGCTAGCTTTGAAATCCACCCAGAAGCTCCGGGAGTTGTTAGCCTAGCCTTGTGTACCTGGTAAACCAATCTACTTCTGTGTACCATTTTACTCTTGCTCTTTGCACAGCCTTTTCCTGTGAAAAGAAGCGAGAGCAGAAGGAAAAAGAGGTGCATTAACCCCAGATAGAGAACTTTTTTGACGGTGATTACGAGTTCGGGAAGAAGGCTTTCAACCTATTCTGATTTAAGTATCTCTCCATCTCTTAGGTAAGCGTGAATGCTTTAGGTTTGTCAACTTTGACTTGACTCAATCAAGTAGTGTATTTCACTCACTGTTATATTAATATTGTAATACTTCGTTCAAATCTGGTAGCACACCAATCGATAAACTGAAACCAATCATTATAGCTAAACCCACTGCAACCCGAAATTGACTGAGTGGAATATTGTTGTCAATCAACACCTTGACACCCATTTTATCAAAAGGATCCTCTTTAAAGGCAGTCACCACTGTTTGTGAAATATCCTTCGTTTCCTGGAATATTATCTTACTATAACCAGCTACGTTTGATCCTTCATTGAGAAAGACATCACAGGATGTTGGATAATCTTCCACGGGAGGTACGCCGGGTGTAAACTTGAACCATACAACGGTATAAAAACCCAATTTGACAAGAAGAAAGATATTTCCATAAATAAATGTTATATCATCTCTAGAGTGAAATGTACGAATATTAACTAAACATTCCATCCATTTCCGGGACATTATACTTAATGTATTATCAGCAAGCATTTTGTAATTCCTAAATAATCTCCTTTCCATGGAGATTTCACCAAATCTCATTGGAGATATATTCCTTAAACTAAGCATGTCCCGGATGTAATGATAGTTATACTTTACTAGAGGTACAATCTCCGTAATTCTACTTAACTCAGCAGTCATAGATTTGGTAGTTGGACTGTAAACCCTAAAACCGAGTTGATAACTCTTTATAGTATTTTCCTCTATAATCGATTTTAATATATTCGGATCTCGCAAACATTTGTATAGAAATGGATCTATACTCATTTGATCATTCTCATCAACTAAAAAATGCAATTTGTTTTTATTCAACCATCCATCGTGAGAAGAGATAGTTTCATTAAGACCCTTCAAATATTTTGTATTTTCGGATACTAAATCACGAAAACTTAAGGATAAGCTATGAAGCCATTTCATAATTTGACATTAAACGTAATTAATTATACGAAAGGTTTTTTATTTTTAGATGCTGTATATACCTCGGTTTAGAATACTGTATAAAGATATGTTCTTTACAATACAATATTCATCAACCCTCTAGTAGACATCCTTACTAGAGAACCTACAACATCGGTGTAATCCTGACACCAATCAAGCCCACTCCTTTCCTCCGTTCCTGATACCCTTTGGGGCTGGGGCATCACTCACTCTATTTTCTTATCTTCTTTCAATCATTTTTTCTAACTCTCTTTATCTTCCCCATCCCTATCTTATGGGAACAGACGGGGGTAAATACCATCTAGCTAATCCTTCTCTTTGGCTATATGGTTGAGCTCCCCGGTAAGGAAACAGGCACTACGGGCTCCTATTTGAAACTCTCCATTGCTTTGATTTAGTGCTTCCAAATCTTATTACAAATCCTCGTATCTCCATACCGAAACACACCCATCCTCGTCTAGTAATATAGCCTTTTCTCCGTTACACGCCGGCATGCAGTCATAGTCCTCTTTAGATAAGAACTCAAATTCCCCATCTAGATTGATTTCATCTAATAGAGAAATAACTGTATCATCATCGAATGTAAATGAATCATTCTTCTTGAGTGCTATAATCACTTCATGACCCCATCGGGTATATGTTATTCCAGGATACTTCTCCTCTATCACTAGATCGAACTTTCCTTGATAGAAAATATGTAAAATCACATTTGTTATTTCACCTATTGGTGGTATTAGATTGATGGGTATCATCTTCTTAGCATTCAAGTCATAGATTGGTAGAAAGAGAATCTGTTTAAGTAAATTAAAAACGACCCCTTTGCTCGTTTCAGTATGAAAACTTTTCAATAAACGAGAGTTCCTTGCTTGATTCATACAAGGTGACAAGTCTATCAAGACTAGTTTATCGACATTTTGCTGTCTATTCAAGAAACCGTAGTGGATGCACTTGACATCATTCAATGTTTCAACGTTAGTGGTAATAGGTGCAATATTTTGTGAACCCCAAATTCTTATTAATACCCTTGATAACGCTGTCATGAGGAATAAGTCAGTTGGTTCTCGACACTGATACACCCCGATCATTCCATCTCCATCCTGAACCCATTCTTTCAGCCATAAATACCCCAGTGATGCTTGCGTGCGCAGCATATCATAGAGGAAAGAAGGAATTTCCGATTTCCTATATTGAAAATAATCAATTGGACTTAAAGGGAAGTTGTCTGTTACAAACAATTCCGTTTGCAAACGCTCCTTCCTGAAAGGAAGCACCCCTCTTTTCCTCCATTCATCGTTATAGATAGAGTCAATTGCTGATAAAAGCATTAGCTTATTTCCATCATTACATGAGAACGATAACGGTGTGTTTTTACCTGTTGAAAACATCCGATAAATAGTCTTAGTTCTAATAAGAAAGCCCATCATTCTATCAGTATACATCATATGACCCCTCCTACCGGATTTGGAACTATTCCCTTTAGGCCTAGGGCGGTCGGGCCCACCCGTTCAAGGATGTCAGACGACTGAAAGATGCTAGAGGATTGAAAGTCATACCTGAGAGCCTCACGGAACTTAATGATATGATGACCTTCTATTTTATCCAATAGATAAAGTCCCTTTACCAACTCCTGTATGGAGTCTGGTACCACACTAGTATGTAAAAACACAGACAAACCATCCCAAATATGGTAATTAATCCATAGTTTTCTAAACGAACCACCTAATTTCACAATGGTAAATAGATTGCCATAAATGAAGCTTATGCTGTCAGGGGTTTGGGACATGAGTATATGTAACACACAATCTGAGGCATCATAGCCTATGATTCCAGCGCAGTGGGCCTCGAGTCCTCCTAATTCTGTCATGAACCCATTAATTAGTGATTCCGCCGCATTGTTTAGGGCTTTCCACATAGTTCCTTGTGAACTTATTAGCTCATTACTCATGGGAGTAACCCCCAAATGTCTATTTATAAATTCCATCATCAAGGAATGATTTTCAATAATAGCTGGGCTGACTTCAACCATTGGAATGCCCCCATCCAAAGTACCGGTTCGTGGATTGTAAAAAAATGATTTATTCGATATTATCTCTAATTTGTCTGGACTTACAATAGTTTTATATACCCCCTCCTTAGGAAAAAGATTCCTGATAAGTTGAGTAGTAGGAACAGATTCAATGCTACCAAAGCCTAAATCTGGATTGCAAATTGGTGAAAAGGCCAATCGAAAAGGATCTTGTTCAAAAGATTGATTAATTTGTTTGATGGTCTGATGGAAACCATTCAAATGCTCTGCATTATCGCTAATACGTCTCTTAAGATTGGTAAAGAAGTGAGTAGCCTGTGTGAGGCTAATGTGGAAATTAAGATTCATGATAATATATTTATTCATATATAGTTAGTATTTCGGCGAATGTCGGGATTTTATTCTAAAGTTGCCTTTACCCGTGTGGTATGAGCCACCCTCTATGCAATTGCGAAGAGGCAGACAACGTTGTGCAAATTGATTAGCATTCTATGATGTTTAATGTATAAAATATTAGTAGCATTATATGTATCGCCCCTTTAAGGGAAAAACCAAATAAAGGTGCCAGCTTTTTATGCATCCCTTAGGTTAGTGCAAGGTTGAGTGTTTCCTCCCCTTAAGATTGTTCACTTACGTGGGTGTCCCCAACCTCAGTAGTGATCATATGTGTGGTTGTACTTTTTACGGACTAATCATTTACCTGGACCTATTCCAGTGTATCGCTGACATATTAGCAGTGACCTCCGACGTATACAAGTTCTGAAAGAAAGAATATCTTCTTGAAGGTTTGCCTTAGTCAGTATACAAGAGTCAGAATCAATTCATAAAATAGGTAACGACTGAAATACAGATAATACATACCGGAACTCCAACACTTATCCAATTACTACCTTCAATGGGTATATCTTCATCAGGCAATCCTTCAGCCAATTCCTCCGCCACTATCTGCATAGTATCCTTCAAAAGTTTACCCGATTCTACGATAGATTGTGTTGTATCATCCTTAGTATCCAAGAGTAATAAGTCTTCTGAACCAGGGACTTCAGATACATCTTTGAAAAAATCTACAAAATGATCTGGGAACATACCACTGGATAAGAAATCTGGTGCACACTCCGTATAGTTGTACCATACTGTAGTAAAACAACCTAATTTCACTAGAGCAAGGAGGTTGCCATAAACGTATCTGACTCCAGAAAGTGATTGACTTGTAACTACATGGACCACACATTGGGTAACTTTATGTGAGATTGTGTGGTTTATTTTCTGAAATTGACTCAATTTATATTCAAGGGAAGACTCCAAACTTTCTTTACCACGCTTATACGCATCCAACAATAGGCTATCTCGTTTTAATTCCGAATAATGAAGAGGTGTTATATTACGTATACCAAAGAACTCTCGCATATAAGAGTCTTTATAATGAAAAATAGCTTCCAACTCATTTGAGGGATCAATCATATGTTTGAGTCCTGGATGGTAATATTTACCTCCAGTTGTATAGTAGAAATTTGTATTATCCTTTGTCATGTCCTTATCAGGCTCATATTTTCTCATATTTTCTTTCATTTTATCAATAGACAAGTCCTCATAAAACTTCTTCCTCTGCTGAAAGCTCTTATTATTTGATTGAATAATCTTAAGCTTATTAAATCCCTTTAATAAAGAAGTTCCATTATTATTGAACTTCTGCGCAAAAACAGATTTGTTTGTTAATAACATAATTGCATCATATTTCACACATGGTTTGATGGTGGTTTTTCATTTAAGTGAATTTCAGTATCGATTGAGTTCACGGCCAGCACCAGTCATTCATCCCGTACAAGAGGATATAGGGGGTTGCTGGCACCTATTGTCCCCCACCCCAATAAGATAAGATAAGAAGAACTACAATGCACTGAATATCCAAATCCAAATCTATTCCAACGTTCCTGATACCCATTAAGGGCTTCAGTCACTCTCTTACACAGTACAAGCAGAACTCTTACACAGTACAAGCAGAAGGGCACCATTGCCAAATGACTCTGTCCTTCAATTTATTAACCATTTCCAAATAAAATAGAGCGGACTCTGTCCTTCAATTTATTCAAAACTAGACCTAGCCTTGAACACTTTTCTTTATCTCCTATAGGATTCTTTTTATGTGACTTCTTTTCATCTATTTCGTCCTTATTGATGATTATATCTTTTGTAGCTGGAGAATATACCTTCTTATTGGCTATCTTTTTGACCCCTAGATTATCCATCTTTTTGTTATGAGCTATATCTAGATCCTTATTAACCAGGTCATTCACCTGTAACTTATGATCCTTCTTATACTGATCCTTCTGTTTTTTATTCCTCTTCTCCTTCTGCTCAAGCTTCCGCTTTTCCTTCAGCTCCTTCTTCTCCAGCTTCATCCTTTCCCTCAGCTCCTTCTGCTTTTCCTTCAGCTCCAGCTTGATCTTATCATTCTGCTCTTTCTTCTCCTGCTTTTTATTAGAATAGTTCCTTTTCGTTTGAAATGCCCATTCGTTTATGTTAGAACCTAATGAACTCAACTCGTACCTCCTATAACTAAAATGGCTTATAATACACAACTGCACGTTAAACCATCCAGTTTTGTTTATCGCCTGGACTCCACCGCGATACCCTCCATTTGCTCGGAAGGCGAAGCGATTCATGGTATTGATGGTCATAATAAAATTGTGATTTCTGTCAGGTGAGTCCTCTGAAAGGGACTAGCTTATTCAGGTGAATCCTGAAGGGATTTTGGGTCCTATGTGCCCTTATAATCCATATCCATGTCTTTTCTATACTGCATTTCTTACCATCCAGAGTCATTTCTCCCCCACGATACCCTCCATTGGCTCGGAAGCCGAAGCGATTCATGGTATTGATGGTCATA